ATAACATTCACGTTTGTATCTACATATAATACAGTTTGTATATCTGCACAGAAAGAACGATTTTACTATAGTATTTAAAAATTTAGCTAGATAAATATTTAAAAATAATTTATTGGACTATATTCAAGATAATTATGTAAAATACTCAATCTAATTTCTAGACTCTATTTTTTGAAAGTTTTCACAGCATTATTCTCATCATGCTCAAGTTTTCTATATAATTATTTTGATAGTCTAACAAAATTATTTTTAGATTTGCAACTACCTAAATTTTTACTTCAGCAAAATCGTTCTTTCAGTGCATCAGCGAAATTCTGTCATTTCTATCAGCAATTTTATTATCGTACTTTTTAAGAATTTGTTCCTTGACTATAATTCAATGGACTATCAAACGATTTTGTGAGCTTGTGGACGATAATTAAATTTGCAGATAGCGTCGTCTTAATTCACGTGATTTTCGAGATTGTGAATAAGATCGTACTCGTAAAATTCGATTTTACGATGTCATTTCTTCTACACGACTGCGGGCTCTGCTCGTCGATAAAATCTGACATCTTAAGAATCGAAGGACCATTTATTTTTTTGATTGTGAGCTCAAACTAATCGTAATCGAGTGTTACATTTTCAACAAATTTTAACTGATTAATTTGTGTACTATCGAAGCGCTATATCGCGCTGAGATGTGCAAAATTACGTTTAAAAAACATATTTTTCAGAATTATTTTTATATTAATTAATTAATTAATTTCAATATTAATATCTTTTAATGATTCATTAGAATTGTACTAATTATTAATTGTTCATAATAAGTATTAAAAATTCTATTCCTCTGTGAATTATTTAACAAAATACAAAAACTTGTCGTGCAAAAAGATTAATTTTTTTATTTGAAATAAATCTACTATTTTGAAGTTTATTTGTTAGAATTTTTGTAATATTTTATTTTTCTACAAATATAACAGTACGCTCGACGTTGTACATTGCGACATATATTAAGTTTAGTAATGGCCGCTGGTGGATTTGTAAATTCGGGCAACGGATTTAGCAGAATGCGCATATTGTAGAATAAACAGCGGTGTGGACAGTGTCATCTAAATCCTTCGAATTTTGCGGGTTTTTCATAGTACCACAGGGCACACTTAATTACGCCACAATTATGCTTTCTCCCACATTATTCAAAAAATTATAAAAAACAGCTCTTATTGTTGTTACCGTGTGGATTACCCATTATTATATTTTGCGCGAGACATATAATACTTTTTTTTAATATTATTTAAATGTATATGAATTTCATGAATTAATATTAATGTAATGTTTTTGCTGAGAATTTTGTAGTAGTTGAAAAATTAAAAGTAGTTTTTACTGCTTTAGTTTTTAACGATTAGTTTTTAACGTTAATTGCTGCAATTAAAACTAACTATTTTTTTGTTATTAATTCAGCATACGCTTTATATACATATAACTAAAAATAAAAAAAGTGTATGCACCATCATCGGTATCGGAAAATTTGAGCTATAATCATACCAAAACTTAAATAATAAAAGTTGCGGTAGCTCGAGATCCGTTAATGGCTCCTTTAATGGAAGCAATTTATCCTTTTTCCATCTTGTAATCTGTGTGACGAGAAGCGATGTTGTGGAACCAAAAAGTGGAACAGGAAGCAAAAGTCGGAGGTGTCTATTAAGAAGTCCGCTGAATATTAACGCGACGAAATGTTTTCTGACGCCGTGGCGCGGAGATTAACGAGGCGATTATTAAAATATGCAGTACGCCGGCCTAATTAGCCCGCCAATGAAACCAAGAAGTCATCTACTCTGCTTGCCATCTTCTTCAGTTTTACAAAGGTCGCGAACTTTAGCACGACGCAATTTCGCCGTATTACCTTGCTCAATTTAAGCGACAAGTCAAGTTAACTCGAGCGCTGTTTTATAGCTGTTTTTCATAGATTTACTTTTATGATAATATTTTTTACATTAAAAGATTTAACGACAAGAATTTAAGAGATCTTTTCATATTAAGAACATAAAATTTCAGCGAGAATAAAACATTCCAAGAAATATAGAGAATTAAAAAATTTTATGAGGTGCCAGGATATAAAGGAGAATTCAACAAATCTCAAAATTTATGTCTTAGATATGTATCATAAAAAAGACAGTTAGTAACTATAAAATTTTCTCAGTCATAGATAAAGACGATTGGCATTATACGCAATGTATGCAGTTATTGTTTGTTATTTCATTATTGTGCTATTTTATTATATTATACCTATATGAATCGATACAGCTCTTTATAAGTTGTTATAAACTTATAACTTATAGTCCTTGTTTTCCAGGAAATATTTTACGCTATCTATCATACACGAACAAAAAGCAGTTAGTTTTTACATCATCAACCTGTCGATAACATGAACGATAAAAAATGTAACTGCTAATCTATTTTGCCTTGTAATGCAGTAATAATGCTACAATAATCTCGCGTTTTATGTATAACGCATAAAATGCGGAAGGAAGAATAGCAACGAATTTTTGTTAACAACAGTGAGATTAATGTAGCAAGTTAAAAGAATGAATGAGAAAAAGTGACTCGAGCTCGCGAAAATGCGAAAAAAGCCACTCCCGGCTACTTATGCAAAAGTGCGCTTCATTTGCCGCGACAATTAACGCAGTTAACCTGCGACGCAAGCACGCACGCACGCATAACACGCTCGTTATAACGAACGAGCCTCGTCAGAGAAATTCTGTCGTCGTGCTGTAAGCAGAACAGACAGAATCGTTATCAAAACTTCATGTCGCGCCGGCGAGACGTATAGCGAGATTCGCAGTTTACGCAATCGCTGGTTGAACCGTTGGAATTCAGCCTTACTGCATAGAACGGTAAAGATAAAGTAGACGCACAGTTACGCGTGGTATAGCACATAACCTCCGGCGACAGACTTCCGTGATTCTCGTAAAACACGATATCGCCGTTGTTGCATTATTCCACCCTGACGTGACGCAACGGCAGCTACTGCGCTGCGCGAACATTATTAATCATTTTTTATCATCACCCGCTGTCGTTGCAAAAATGCCATTTCGCATTTTACTTCGACTCATCTCTCGGCAGTCAAGTTGTAAGACAACTTTCGAATGGGATCGCATCAGACCGAGAAGTGCGTGAGCCGGTGAAAGCGATCGTCGTGGGGAAGACACAAAGCACGGTTCGTATCTTCATAAATCGCGTTTGTTTGACCAAGGTTAAGAATGCTTCAAACTTGATTCCTTTACGTAATATTGTGACTGTAGGATTTTGTTGTTTCACATAATTTATTTAGCTGTAAATTTATTGAAGTCGACAGGCTATTTTTGGTTCCATGAATTAACCTTTTGCACTTTTTTTGGCACATTAATTCACTACATTTGCTAATATATTAGTAAATTAGGAAAATGCAGCATTATGTTACACATTGTGCATATGTATTCATATATATTTATGATAACATTTAAATAAAAATATTTAAGAGTCTTTGTCAAAATTATCGACTTTATATATTTCAAATATTGCTTTAAAATATTTTGATTATAATTTAGGTGTATATCGTATTGGTAACGAAATGATAAAAATTAAATGTTTATTTATGTAGACAATATTGAGCCTTTTTTTTAACGCTGCGACATCGCAACAATCTTACTGTTATTACCCACGACATTTACATGAATACACTTTCCTAGAAAAGATAGCGTAATTATTCCCGCATGGCAACGTAATCATCATACCGTTAAAAATAAATAAATCATACTTTGTCCCAATTGGCTTTTGTACTTCCAATAGCTACTTAAAAGTAACATTTAACTTTAACATTTGACGATGCGTAAAGACGTAGACGTGACAACCGCACAATTATGTGCGCATATGTATATGTGTGATCTCTTCCGCGTTGCGTAATTTCAAGTGCTGAAGTCGTCAGTCGCAATTGCTGCATTTTCCTAATATAGTCAGATAGTAGGAGAAACCGAATACACTGCTGATTAAGAAGATGTTAACGGTAGTCAAAGAAAAGGCCGTTATGAAATTTCACTTTGCCATCTGTCCCTCTTTAATTAAACGTGTAAGATTGACGCGAATTAATTTGATTTGCATTATGTGGTGGAATGTCTTAATATCATTTTTCAAATGAATTTTTTATAATGATTTTACCAAAATTCGCATTTAGGGATGCCAACTTCACAGAGCAGCTCTGTGAAGATGGCACCCCTAAATGCGAATTTTGATAAAATCATTATTGCATTTCGTTTGTTCACTGTTTGTCCACGTTGGTCCACCCTCCAAAAAAAAGTTATACACAAAAAAAGTTGTAGCACCCCCAAGTGATTATTTTTCATTATTATGAAAAATATAATAAAAATAGGGTGGACATACGTGGACAAACAGTGGACAAACGAATGCAATAATGATTTTACCAAAATTCGCATTTAGGGGTGCCGACTTCTCAGAGCTGCTCTTTGAATTTGTGAAAAGAATAAAGTGTTTAGAGAAATTTTTGAAGTAGATGTATTTTAAAGAAGAATATATTAATAATAAATCAAGATTAGTTTACAAATGTGAAAGGAATTCAGTAATTCATAACGTATTAGTTTCCGAAAAGAAAGCTGATGCATTATAAATTGCTGAATCAAAGTCATGCATTGTAATGATTTTAAGTTATAGATCAACGCTAGAAGTTATGTAGATACAATATTATAAGACAAGATATGTCATTTAATTTCCCAGATGACATGTATATTGCATAAGGTATTTAAAAGACGTGTTTTAGAACAAAATGTTATCTGGATTGTTAAATATTATTGCTGTAAAATGTAATGTATTATTTCGAAAAATTTTAAAATGTATATAAAGAAATGTGTGTACATGTAAATTAATTATTATTGGAATTAAATTACATGTTATATTATATTTCTTTTATCCATTCTATTTATTGTTCAACATACATATCGATATTAGTAGCTTTTCCATTTTCTTTGCAGACGACTGTCCAAACTGTGTGGACGAACATAGCAACAGCTTGGCGGCTTCAAGATGGACGATGCCTTTACTGAAGCTGGGCGAGAAGAGATACTACCTGGGGATCTTCTTCAAGGTATCGCTCCTGCCAGTTACGCTGATTTATCTGACCGAACCGTCGACCCGACCCGGGTCTCGGACTTTATCAAATTATTTCCGAGCTCGTAACTTTCCGGCTTTGCTGTCACGGACGGTTTTACGGTGCATCGAATGCCGGGAACCAGGATAGTAATAAGGGTCTTTTCGGATAACAGTGACCCTGTTGGTTGCAACAGAGAATCTCGCGTGATGAAAGAAGTGAAATATATTGGAAAGAAACGAAGTATTTGGCACGTAATGGAAAATTGAAAGAGTTCCAAGCAAAAGTGATTTCAGATTGTAAACGCCAAATTTATTATTACAAATAATGTAAATCGTAAATACACAGTAAAAAAATATAAAATAAAGTTTTTTCAAAGTTATACACATATGTCGGCATTAGACGATAGTTTTTCTACTATAAAATATTTTTACCAAAATCTGGCATTTAACGCAAAATTCTTTTCTGTTTTAATTATACTACAAGTATTAAATTATACCGGCACAAATTCAGAGAGAAAGAAATAATTTATGTATCTGTTTCAATTAATTATTTATCTATAAGATAGAATTATTTTCTACGATAAATTAGTAAAAATCACATTGTAGGTACTTCAATATAAATTGTTTATAAAATTTATGACAGTTTATAAAGTTGAAAGCGTATCTTCTGTCTCGAGGATTTCGCAGGCAGTGCTGATCTCATGCGGGTCTTTCGAGAGCGTCATTCCTGGTTCTGACGTGTGTAAACGCGTGTCCGCGCGCGAACACAATCGTATCGATTAGAGTCGCCCTTATTACGGCTTCCCGGATAGCCTAGGCGCTTTTATTGACTCACGCGCTATTAACACGGATTTCGCAATTCCATCGCTGCTGCGGATCCGGCCGGAGCGACCTCGCTAGAGATGGATAGAAGTGATGTAAAGGCGTTCGTTTAAGCGGACTTTTCGCAACAAAAGTGCGAAGAGGAAAAAAAAAGTGGAGATTCTCTTCTTCTCTCTTGACCCTCTCTTTTAATCGGATCACCAAAGACGAGTCCTCTTTGTTTCGCAAGCAAATAATAGACGTCGCCCCATTAATCGAGACCTTGCAAAACAACTTTGCTCGTTGCCGGGCAATGACCGACTTTTCCACTGAATTTCGAGGTTCTCTTGACGACAGAGAATGTTTGCTTCTCTCTTTAGTAGAGAACTTATTTAAGTTAGGAAAGGAGGCAGTTTTCGGGGTGAAAGTCAAGTTTCTAGATTGCAAACATACCACTTGTTCTCTTGCTGCTCCAATTAATCCGTCTGTTTGACTTGTAGCGAGATAAGTACCCTTCATGCATGTCTTTGATGGACCAAAGTGTATTGATCCCGTTGCATTATAAACGGGTCATTAATTGATCCATTAAAGAGATCCATTCAATATATTCTATGCGTTGATATATCTTCATATAATTTTTAAATACTAGAAGATTTTAAATGATAAAGGATTTTACATCTAATAACAGCTTTCATTTTTATAACAAGGAATTAGAAATAAAGTTCATTGTGTAGTACTTAAAAGAAGAAAATGTAGTTAAGAACAAAATATTAGATTAAAAAGTACTTTTACTACTTTTAAGGTGACATACATGGTCAATAATATCGATCAGTAATATTCTATTAATAATATTGACAGTATGCATCAAAATTTTTAGTATTTTTACAACTTTACACGATTGTTGTTGACGCAATATATTTCACTTTATGTATATTATTCGTTATACTGTGACATACTGTGACATAGATCTTAGTAAAGCAATACTGATACTCGAAAATCAAAATCCGAATTGTCGTCAGTATTCTAGCTATGTCAGTTCATCAATATTAAATATTGATCGCACACGATCGGTAATATTATCAGTGCCTGTTAATATTGACAATATTATTGACCGTGTAGAAAGTCATTTAATAAACGAGAATATATTCAATAAACACTATAAACTTTTTTCTAACTACATATTTAATATAATCATATAATTATATTATACGTATTTTTATAACAATTTAATATCAGTCTCCAATTTTGCTTGTTTTCTCTTGTCAGAAAAACAAATGTATGCCCATTTAGAAAGGACAAATGTGTTTCTACTTTTTAATTATTTTCCCTTTAATCTTTATTTTCTTTCGTTACGCGGTATGCCCTGAAACACTATTCGAAACCGAAAAGCCAATAGCATGCCACTGATCGTCACGTACGATTGCTGTTTCGTTTAGGGAGGATAGACCGAGCTTAAGCGAAGCCATCGTGCACGAGTAACGACGGGTTCGTGCCGACGTTTCGTGGCGGCGCAGGAGAGCGTATACGCTGCGAGATTCGAGCGGAAAGGGAATGCAGCGGTAATGCAACGCCGTCGTGTCGGGCCGCTCCCGTGCAATCGCGACGGCGCTCTATTTATTGCGCTTTATTTGCATTCCCGGCAGGTTACACTCGATTTTTCGCGTCCTTCGCGTTCCATCTTGCCCCATCGTATACACCAGACGGATCGACGAAAGAGCAACGAGAGAGCAGCGACGAAATTCGGTACCGTTGACATTGACGAAGCGAGAGACAATATTTACTATGCTCTTGAATACATTTTTTCTGAACGTTTAAATGCGTAAGTGAAAGATGTGTACGATATATGTCATACGCAGATATTGGAACAACAAATAATAATATAAAGTGGATTGCTAAAAAAAATTGTTGCAGTAATAATGTTGCAAGAAAAAAAATATATAGAATAATAAAAAGTTTATAGGAAACACAAAAGTATTTTATCATTATGATGATGAGATAAAAATTAAACAAATGTTAACATTACGATTCTTCTTTTAAAAATGAGTTTAAGATAATTCTTTAAAATTATTTTATACAGTTTTTAATTTCTTAATTAAAAAGTCATTAAATACTAATTGAAATTATTAATTAAAGTAAATTAATTAAAATTTAACTTATATGTACTTATACATATATTGTATTAACTCCGAGTTTAGTGTCTATTACATTAACATGAAGATCACTTTGCAGTTAAGACAAATAATTTACATAAGCATTAGCTACCAACGGTGTTAATTACCGGCAATGTTAATTTGGACAAACTTTAATTAGCGTAGCGATTAAGGTCTAAAAAGATTCATTAAGTTCTACAAAACAAGCAGAATATGCAAAATTCTCGCTAAGTGTGATAATCACTTTTCTTAAACATCCTGCATATGTAAAAGCAATATATGGTATACTTAGATCGTGTAATTTGTAATATATATATATATATATAAACTTTCTCTACTTTACTATATATTTTATAATATTTATGAAATACATATTTTGAAAGTGTTTTCAATGATAATAATAAAAAGTATAATTACAAGTCACATCCGATGTTCCAAGTTTGACTTTATTATCGTAATACTATTATTACAAAATTTTGTTCAATATAATAGTAATAACTTGGCGAATCATCAAAATATAAAGACACACCGAAAGTTGCATCTAATATATAATATAATACTTTGCAAAAGCGTAGCTGCTATATATGCATACGTTTCATAATAGAAACGTTGCGTTCTCAAGAATTTCAAGTGGATAACCCAGTCTCTCAGTAAACGTATATTATGCATCCTAATTATGTTTATAAAAAATTTTTTAATTTATGAGTAAACCCTCGTAGAAGCACTACATTCTGTGACTTTCCATCGCAGTTCGATTTCGTGATTATTTGTTATTGCAAAAAAATACGTTGTATTGTTGCATTATGCGTTGCATTATTAAGGGTGCTGTGAATTTGGCACGTGCGTCAGTGCGATGTGTGATGGCCGAGAACCACTTTTGCACTTAAATGTTCGCGGCGACTAGGCGCGAATGCGACGAAACGCGAGGAAATTTGTAACGATCGTAAATAACTACGGTCAATGAAGTCAGAGGTGTTCGTGCTTTTGCAACGTATCGCGGTCATAAAAATCACATAATGCAGTGCGGATAACCGAAGTTACACAGCCGATACGTTATGTAATATTGAAATGTCGAAGAACGAATTCGTCGTACGTTTAATGTTCATCAGGTTTCTTTCAAGCGCGTAAAATATTGCGATATACTGCGGTTTAAACTTGGCTAAACATAAAGATATATATTCTATTTTCATACTTCTATGCAATAATTATAGTTTGTATTATTGATACATTAAATAATTTCGTTGGTAATATGTTAGTAATATTCCAAACAGGTTCTCGAATATAATCTGCCGAAATCGATACCGGAATAGCGATTGTATAACTTTAGTGTGAATATTAATGTGCCCCTACAATCTGTATGCTGTTAATTATTAATACCGACCAATCTGCTATAATCAACGACGATCACGAATGTTAAATGTGAATGTTAATGACAGCTTATCTCTACCATAATTTGATTACACATAATTTACCAATAGTTCAAATGTTTCTCTTTGTCATAATTATTGTGATGTTTAATACATAAATTTAGGTCATTGCTTTAGGTCAAATTTCTCTCTCATAGTATTCCTTTTTATTGTACATAATTGCTGTTTATGTCGCGGATTAATGCATTATCCAGCGTTATAAATGATTTATAAATTATTTGTATATATAGTATAGCCAGTAGGTGCATGTATAGTAGATATTTTACCGTAAATATTTAATGTATAGCGATATTTGTAACACAAATATAATAACAATAAATTATTATATCAATTTTTAATACATTTTATTTTGCATATGCTTTGTGCAAAATATCTTGTATAATTAATGGCGTTTTGTCAAAGAAAAGAAAGAACGTTAAAGCAAAGTAATATCATCCTTTTTTTTTGCATTGTAGGCAAACTGGTACAGAGCCTCGCAATATTGTCGTTATCACGGGATGCATCTGGCGAGTATAGCCTCGCAAGAGGAGAACGATAGACTTGAGAAGCATATCAAGGACTTCGGTCTCGGTCACGAGCATTTTTGGACTTCTGGCACCGACCAGGCCGAGGAAGGAACTTTTTTCTGGATGGCTAATGGTAGGCCGATCACGTTCGAGAATTGGAACGTCGGCGAACCAAATAATTTTCGGTGAGGGTGTCTTACAATCGCAAACAATTTACATTCCAGCTTCTGATATTGATCGCGGAAATTTCGTCTTATCATTGCGATACGATTGGCATAAATCAGTTATTGAGACATTAGAACTCGTTTCCGGTGAAAGGTGTTCTCATGGAGACTCTTTAATGGCAACAGAAACTTAATTTCTATGATTTCAGTGATTTCAAAAGAAAGTTTAGTATTTTAGTGTTGCAATATTTTTGATATTTGCGCGTAATTATAATATGTTTATGTAATATAAAATTATTTTATATGTCCTTTTTCTTTGAAAATACAATTATAACACGCGTATGATTATAATAAATTAAATGTATTTATACATTATTAAAATTTATTGTATTATATTACGTCACGGACATATTTTGCCACTTTAAAAGATATTAATAATTACTTTTTCAAACAGAGAAATAAATAACAAGATATTTTAATTAATTTCTATAATGTATTTTTAAAATTATTAAATTATTAAAGCTATAGTGATTATGTCTTATAATGTTTTGTATGCATTGCAAATTTCTAAAATAAAAAAAAAAATGTTTAAAAAGATATGCAATTTTAATTTTTTAATATTCAATATATTAAATACATTATTAGATAACTTATTTCCTTATGAATTTTACTTAAAATAATGCGGATTTTATTTAGTCTTCTCATTTTCTTTCAGATACGAGAACGGCGAAGAGGAACATTGCCTGGAGCTCTGGAATAGAGATGGCAAAGGGCTCAAATGGAATGACAGTCCTTGCAGCTTCGAGACTTTCTTCGTCTGTGAAGTGCAGTGATCAATTTGCAACAAAGGCTGGAAGAAAGGACTAAACGCATGAGAATATTCGTGTACAGATATCAGTTTATTCATGTCCTCAAGGTGATCCTCGAGGAAACTGCATGTGACATTCTCGTCGGCCGTCCATTTGTTTCAGTGGACTTAGCAAGATAGAGAGACTTGACGTGACATGTGCGCTCGGACTGAAAACGATATGTGATTAGCCAGCCGTTACTGTTGTCACGTTTTACACGTCCAGAATTCACGAGTGTGTGCGCAAAACGACACCCAATTCAGTCAGTTCTTTTCGTAAAAGAATCACCGGCAATAAGCTAAGCGTTGAATAAATCCGCAATGTCGGACGATAAAAACGATTTATTTGCTTTTTGTGCAGAGGCAGTTCCAGACAGAGTGCTTGACGTTAAATAAATGCAATGTATTTAAGTTTTTACATATTTGAAAGGTTTTGTTTTAAATTTAAAGGGTAATCAATAATGACAATAATTAATATTTTTATTCTTAAAAAGAGAAAATACATACTACAGAAATTTTTTTTAATATGTTTATATTTTAAGTAAAACATGTACGTTCTTTCATATGTAAATCTTTAGATATGTAATTATTTTACTTATTTTTGACTGTGTTCATATTTTTTTAAAAATTTAGTTTTACCTCTGCTTATTAGAGATTTTATAAATTACTGTGAAATATTACAAAACGACGCGTGAAATCTTTATACGCACCGAAGAATCGATTGACTATAATATTTCCCTATGCTGCACAGAGATATTATTACTAATCATTTGTTAATTTGAAATAAAAAATTATGAGGAAGACAATATTAATATGGTGACATTGTTATAATTATTCTTATATTAATTTATTTTATACAATATCAGATTCATTGATGTAAATTGGCTTATTTATGCCATGCTATGATTGCCTCTCGATTTTTCGATTATAATGAATTTAAAAGTTTCTGATAGCATAGTGTGATATAATATATTATATCTTGATCAAATAATTCTCTAATGAAACCCAGATTGATGTATTATTCTCCGAAACTCGCGCTCTTGCGTAAAGGAATACGGTAGTATCGCTGCATTTATTTAATGCCGAGACTCTACCGTGTTTCCTAATAGAAATTTAAACATTTTGAATTATTATATAGTCAGTGCATGTGCAATGAATTATTTTGACGCATGTATCTATATTATGCAAATATATATTGCAAGTATATTTTTGTTATCAAATCAAATTAGACAAGTTTTTAACAATTGAAAGAATGATTAAATCAATTTATCGATTTTACAAACGAAATAGTTAATTAAGTCGAATGGATTATTGTCAACGTTTACTAATTTCGAATGTGTGCTAAACACTATCATATATTTTAGTTTTTTATATGTTAACATATTATGCAAACACGTACGTAATATGCATGTATATACATATATGTAAATATGTATATATATTTACATCGCACACTAGATAATGATTGCTACAAGTAATATTGCTAGTAGTATGAATAAACCAAAAGATTCTCTCGTGATGCTATAATGTTTGGTATTAAGAAGTGCAATCGTTTAGTTACTGACATTGTCAATTCCAGTAAAACACTTTACTAGCAACGACCGTAACTGTTATTGATTCGATACTTTTAATCATTTACAGAAATAAGAAACTAATGTTAAGTTTTGGATCTGTTCATGTATTAATTTTTGTAACTCTTCGTATCATTTTTTTAGATAAAATAAAAATTTTTTTATTTATATGTAATACTCAAATCGTAAATATCGATCAATTCGAGAGCTATCTTTATGTTTTTCAGATTTTAATTGTGACCTTTTAAATTATTAAGTATTCAAAATAATGGTATTCTTGTTATGTCTGCATTTTAAGCTTTTCGACATAATTTATATAAAAAAGAAATCTGAATTTTAAATCCTACAAAATAAAAAATCTGATATTCTACTCCTTACAATCTTTTTTAGCGTAGTGCACTTGAATCTCCAATTTTACTGTTATAATTGGCAGCGCCTGCATGCGTTTTGAATGAAAATATGGATCGTTCAGCGTCATAACGGTTACAATCTACGTTAATTAGGTCACAGTATAAATGAGCATCGTGATAGATCTCGTTTGGACAATAGTTAGCCTTCATGGTAAATGAAACGAGGGTTCATCGTTGTACTCTACGTATTCTATGTATTCGCCGTCAGAAACGTACAGAGAACGACGTTGTACATGGCATTATTTAGCGCTAAATAATAAAATCAAAATCATTCTCCGATTTTCTGATTTATCAAAACATGACATTTACACACATTTATATCATTTATTCACATTTTTATATTAAATTTAATTTTTCAAATCCGATGCTGGATAGTGCTAATGCATTTTATTAATTAATTAATTTGTTTATCACGTTTTCTGATAAATTCAACGCTAAATATATTATTGTTATATTTCTGGAACGGGGAAAGAGAGTACATAATTTACCGTTCTTTATACATACATCAAACTAGAACGGATAATTATTTTAATTATTTTAATAATTAATGGGTACAATAATTATTATATAAATTTTTCACATTTGTTATTTTATATTCTGTTTAACTTTTTCATTAAAGTAATAATAATTTTTACTTCTCATTGTCAGTTATAGAGATTTATTGAGTGCAATGCAAAATGAATTTTCAATAACTTCCTTTTCTTTCAATTTCTTTTACGGAGGTTGAACACACGCTCAATGATGTTTATATAGCCTACCATATAATCGTTAACGCATCACATAAAAATATTTTCTGTATTTTAATAATCTTATTTACATAGGCTGTGTGAATTCGACGGCTAATCATTTCCATCTCAATCCTTGTTCGACTATATTATGCAGATATGCACGGTAAAACAGACAAAAAGAAACCAAGCGCGTTATACACACTTAGGTATACGTTAAATTTTATTACGCCACTGGACCGTCCACTATAACAAGTAATTTATGCCGCGACACTTTATTTAGACGGCAATAAATGCAGATTCACTAGAAAAGCGACGGGATTCCGTGGGGGGCCGTAAACAGTGTGCAACAACGCATTCAATGCAACAGCACGGCCGCTCTCGTTCTTTATGATGCGGATCTGTCGTAATGTAATACACGCGAAATCTTTAACATGCGGCCACTGTACCAGTTCAAGTTTTCAGATATTTATCGAGTAACCGTTGCACGATCTTCTTGTAATTTTACTTTTACGTTACGATTAACTACGTGGAACGGAGTCGCGATTGAGAAAAGAATGTGCTAACATTATTTCCAAATCTGACATAAATTAAGGAGCAATCTAGATTTACGCGATTAAAGTATTTCGGACTTTCATTTTACGTAAACTGCGATTATTATCATCACAATGTTTATATTATTTAAAATGTTTTATACATTACTTTTTGTATGAATTTAATTTGCCGATGCTGATCGAGTAATATGGAATTAAATATGGAAAAAGATATATATTGTAAATACAGCTATATAACACTGATTATGTGTATATGATTTTTTACAATTTCGTTTCCTAATCAATTTAACATTATCTTTTTTTAATTTACATATTTACAAAATTTTATATGTAGATTATCTTCTATACTATTAATTTAATTAATTAATTAAACATATCATTTATAGTTCAAATAGAAATCTATTTTATCAAAAAACTTACGAGATAATTATAAAAATAAATATTTTAGGAAACTTTAATAGAATTACTTATTAAAATTAATATCTATTAAAAACAATATGTTAAAACAATAAATATATAATGTTCCATAATGCATTTAATTTTCTTATTTATTATCAGCAACCGTTACCATTCGATCGCTAAATTTCTGCAAAATCATTAAACGTAAATTTTGTTACATACTCTTTCCTTTATCGACAACCAATAAACCAAGAAACATATCTACAATTTCTGTAATTGATAATAATTCGAAAGCAAATATTGAATACAGTAATATGATAATGATCATATTCGTATAAATAAAAATTCGTATAAAATATGTAGATAATTAATTATTATGATACAGTAATAAAAGTTACAAAAATTGCAATATCTGTATGCTGAGTAGAATTTGAATTTTACACACGTATCGATAAATATCCATATTAAAAAATAAAATAAATAATTTATTTTTAAATATTTTTCTCAATTTTAATTGTTTTTGCAATATCATTTTAACATATCTTAACATATTTTAAAGAATTCTGGTTTTATATGTAACTATAGTTTTTAACATATATTGATATCTTGTGTTACTATAGAAAACATGAAGGAGAATCACAGGTAATTGTAAAAAATTAAAACTAGTAATATACAAAACAACAATTTTATTGGAAACAACATACAATCACGTGCCACGTATGTTCTTTATAAGTGTTCGCGCGTTCCGCCAAATGTGCACATTACAAACAAATACAACTACTCAAAGTTCGCAGAGCAACCCCGTTCGTTTCGTTCGAGTTTCACCCTCGCTTGTTCACTCTTACCGCGGAACTTACGAACGCTGTCGTTCCATACGGACAGCAGTTTCACTTCACGATATCGTATAGATCCTTTTGCTTATGCTCTCTCTTGGGCTAGAAACACGAATACAATATCCTAGATCCCAAGAGAGACAGACGGAAGTAGAGTCGGAAAAAGAGGGAGGAGGGACCCTTATTATTGCCGCAAGGATCCCTATCGCGAGGTTTCATTTCCAAGCCGCGCTTGCTGTAAAGGGCTTGCCTAAAGGGCTAATCCTAAAGGATTTCTGTTTGCTAACCCTAGTCCTCAATGACGAAGACGGAAAGCGAGGATTCATCGAGCGGAGGAGACCTCCCTTTATGTACAAGTACACCGACGAGTACGTTATACAACACACGAGTTCCATATACCTTTGGTATGCACATACTCATATGATACCTCTAATTGTGATGTCACAGCAATCCTTTTAGTTGGTACAAAACGGCGCGCCCCTTCACGCTTGGGC